GTAACAATGTGAAGTCATTTTAGTTTGTAATATTCTTTGGCACAGTATTTGGATGTTTCTCCTCTATGTTTAGAAAGGTATTTTTTGAACTAAGAATATTTAAGAACGAATCTTTATCGAAATTCTATTTCAAAATAACATTTCAAGAAAGATAACTAATAGTCTAAATTTATTTCAATAACATTTTAAAGGAACAAAAAAAAAAAAATTATTCTAAGCACTCAGCATGACTTTCTTCATGCTGTTGTGAAGTTTAAAAACAAATGGAATCATTTCAAATATTTTCTGTATCTATCAAAATTAGATAAAAGGTTATTTTATAAAAATTAATCAATCATATACAAAAAGTTATATGGAATTAAATTTATTTATTGTAATATTTCATTTAACTGTCGAGATACTTGGGAAAATTTGAGTAAATATTTTCCTGGTGGATTGTTGAGTGAGAAAGCAACCTACAAACTGAGTTATGGATCAATAGTGGAAGGTCATAGCCCTATGAAATTACAAACAAAAATAGCTTCATAATTGCTTTTTGATAAAATGGCTATTAAAGAACCATTCATCTATTGATATTGCAAAGGAACAGTAGTAATTTTCCTTATATAAAAAGTTTAATTTTGTTAATGCTAATAAATCGTTATCAACATTACATGTTTTAAATTTTGATTTTTTATGAATATTTATACCCAACNAAAAAAAAAAAAAAAAAAAAAAAAAAAAAAAAAATAAATTCTTCCTTTTAATAAATAATGTAGAAGAAAAAAAGTACTTATATCAAGTTATTTAGTAATCTTAGAATGAACACACATTATTAAATGCTAACTAATATTTCCTGTTCAGGTAAAGTTAAAACTAGAGATAAAGAAATAACTTACCCAAAAACATAACTTTTACTTATTTTATGTTTATGTCAACGAAAGAGACTTTTATGTAAGAAAACAGGATCATACCAAGTGATTTATCTGTCCAAAGAGAAACAAAGATTGGGCATCAGTCTTTTTTATCCATTTAGAAATATTTGAAAAAAATAATTACGCTTTTGAATTTGATTATTATTTGGTTTAAAATAAATTTCTTAAAGAAGCTTAATAAACAAATTATTTCAATAATGCGTAATAAATATTTTCAGTACATAAATTGAGTAAGCATAAAGCAGGAACAGTTTTACTAAAACTCAAAGTTAGCAGAGCAATAGTAAAAATGTTATTACTTTAAGTTTCTTATTTCCTAGAATTTGTTTTATGGCACCTTTGTGAAATCTCCAAGACTTATATAACTCTAAATTCAATTTCATAATAATACCATCAATATACATGGGATTGCAAGGAAAAAAATGAAAAGAAGTTACATTTTTTTTATACAACTACTTATTTAAAAACATGTTAAAAAAATAACACAAGATTAAAAAAAAAAAAAATATTTTCTTAGTAAAATATCATTCTCCTTATTTTACTTCTAATGGTGCAAAATATTTGATATAATTTTGAATCAAAACTTTCAAAAATAGAGTCTGAGCATTTTTTTAAAAATAAATTATAAGGATATATTACTATCTTTGGATAAATAAATCTTAAAAAATTGTATTTGAAACAAGTTACTGCTTTTGAAAAAGGTAGGTCCAAGATTTTTTACTTACAATAATACTACCAAAATTTTTTTTAACATAGCAGCTTAACTATTTTTGAGAAGAAAAAAAAGTGCCTTGGAGCAAGAAAATTTGGTATTTAGAGCAAATAATTTTTATACTTGGAGCAGCATAGTGTTTGCAAAACTACATTTTTGATCAGAGAATAATAATTTACATTTAAAAACATAGTTAACAGAACTTTGGGAAAATTAGATGAGGATTCCAGCATTAATCTATGTCGTTTTCCTAGTTTTTTTTTCTTAAAATTACGATATTTTTAACTATTTTACAAAGTTACTACAACATGCAAACTTAAGAAACCTATTTGTTAACGATTTATTACAAAAAACAAACAAACTTTACAGTGTGTTTCATTTCATTATAATTCCACGCTGCTTTACGAGTTTTTTAAATTCTGATGTTTGAATACAAAGACTCGGGCATTTTGAATTTCAGGTCTTTTTAACGTATTTGCGACGATTATATTGTGAATCTCTCATTTATGAATCGTTATAATAGTCTTTTTTGCATAGTTTTTCCAATTTTGATTTTTATAATTTGATCTCATAATTGCGCTCAAATTCAGCACAAAATTATGCTGAAGATGCACCTTTTGCTCAATGAATCTCATTAGAGCAGTTTGACCCCATTTTTTCGAAGGTAAAAAAAAATCAAAATTTGGAAGAAGAAATTTCATTTTGGGTGGAGCTACTCCAACCCTGAAACTATAATTCATATCGGTTTTCAATACTTAGAACCATATTTTCACAACCAAATTTTACTATGTTAAAAATAATTTTTTGGGGAAGAAAAAACTTCCCCTCTTTTTAAAATACTATTTCTTCTTTCATTTAAGTATCGACTCACATATTACTAATATTAACATTTACTGAGAACAACATAAATTTTATATATGAAATTTATCTTTAAAAAACGTAATAAGATTGAACACGAAAAATAAAAGGAGTCTGAACTTGGACCTGAAAGGAATTCATTTTTCCATTACTTAAAGCATCATTTGAAGCAAAATAAACCAGAATAAATTTCTTTTAAAAATTATGATTTTTTAGAATCCATCCCATTTTCTTTCTAAATGAATCGATTAAAAAAATATTTACAGTAATAAACATAATGAGTATCACATTTGGTAAAACATATTGGTTCAGGACAAAACATAACAAATGGGAAGACTGAACGCAAGGTAGAATCACATTGAGGAAATGCAGTATTGCGACAGTTGNTTAAGAATGAATCTTTATTGAAATTCTATTTCAAAATAACATTTCAAGAAAGATGAACAGGTTATTAATAGTTTAAATTTATTTCAATAACATTTTAAAGGAAGAAAAAAAACATGTTCTAAGCACTAAGCAAAACTTCTTTCATGCTGTTGTGAAGTTTAAAAACAAATGGAATCATTTCAAATATTTTCTGTTTCAAATTCTTTCTATCAAAATTAGATAAAAGGTTATTTTATAAAAAATTAATCAATCATATACAAAAAGTTATAGAGAACTAAATTCATTTGTTGTAATATTACATTTAACCGTCGAGATACTTGGGGTAAATATTTTCCTGGTGAACAGTTCACAGAATTGAGAAAAACTGGTTTGTTGAGTAAGAAAGCAACCTACAAACTGAGTTATGGATCAATAGTCATAGCACTATGAAATTACAAACAAAAATAGCTTCATAATTGCCTTTTGATCAAATGGTTAATAAAGAACCATTCGTCTATTGATAAGGTAAAGGAATAGTAGTAATTTTCCTTATATAAAAAGTTTAATTTTGTTAATGCTAATAAATCATTTATCAACATTACATGTCTTAAATTTTGATTTTTTATGAATATTTATATCTAATAAAATAAAAAAATAAATTATTAAATTTGTTCTTCCTTTTAATAAATAATGCAGAAGAAAAAAAGTACTTATCTCAAGTTATTTAGTAGTCTTAGAATGAACACTTATTACTAAATGCTAACTAATATTTCCTGCTCAATATTACAGGTAAAGTTTAAAACTAGAGATAAAGAAATACTTACCCGAAAACATAACTTTTACTTATTTTATGTTAATGTCAACGAAAGAGAATTTTATGTAATAAAACAGGATCAGACCAAGTGATTTATCTATCCAAAGAGAAACAAGGATTGGGCATCAGTCTTTTTTATCCATTTAGAAATATTTGAAAAAAATAATAACGCTTTTGAATTTGATTATTATTTGGTTTAAAATAAATTTCTTAAACAAGCTTAATAAACAAATTATTTCAATAATGGATAATAAATATTTTCAGATATTTTAGTACATAAATTGAGTAAGCATAAATCAGGAACAGCTTTACTAAAACTCAAAGTTAGCAGAGCAATAGTAAAAATGTTATTAATTTAAGTTTCTTATTTCCTAGAATTTGTTTTATGGCACCTTTGTGAAATCTCCAAAAGACTTATATAAAACTACAAATTCAATTTCATACTAATACCATCAATATACATAGGATTGCAAGGAAAAAAATGAAAGGAAGTTAAAAATTTTTTTTAAATACAACTACTTATTTAAAAGCAGGTTAAAAAAATAACACAAGATTAAAAAAATTTATATTTTAGTCTTAGTAAAATATCATTCTCCTTATTTTACTTCAAATGGTGCAAAATATTTGATATAATTTAAAATCAAAACTTTCGAAAATACAGTTAGAGCATTTTTTAAAAAATAAATTACAAGGATATATTAGTATCTTTGGATAAATAAATCTTAAAAAATGTATTTGAAACAAGTTACTGCTTTTGAAAAAGGTAGGTCCAAGATTTTTTACTAACAATAAAACTACCCAAATTTTTTTTAACACAGCAGCTTAACTATTTTTGAGAAAAAAGAATGTGCCTTGGAGCAAGAAAATTTGATATTTAGAGCAAATAATTTTTATACTTGGAGCAGCATAGTGTTTGTAAAACTACATTTTTGAACAAATTAGAGAATATTAATTTACATTTAAAAACATATTTAACAGAACTCGGGAAAAATTAGATGAGGATTCCATTAGTTGTTTTCCTAGGTTTTTTTTTTTAAATTACGATATTTTTAACTATTTTACAAAGTTATGACAACATGCAAACTTAAGAAACCTATTTCTTAACGATTCATTAAAAAACCTTTACAGCGTGCTTAATTCCACACTGTTTTCCGAGTTTTTTAAATTTTGATGTTCGAATACAAAGTCATCATAACCCGAGCATTTTGAATTTTAGGTCTTTTTAACGTATTTGCGACGATTATACTCTCATCTCTCTTGTGAATCATTATAGTAGCCTTTTTTTTTGCAAAGTTTTTCCAATTTTGATTTTTATTATTTGATCTCATAATTGCGCTCAAATTCGGCACAAAATTATGTCAAAGTTGTACCTTTTGCTCAATGAATCTAGAGCAGTTTGCCTCATTTTTTCAAAAGAAAAAGAATAAAAAATAACGACATTTGGAAGAAGAAATTTCATTTCGGGTGTAGATACTTTAATCCTGAAACTATAATTCATATTGGTTTTCAATACTTAAAACCATATTTTCACAACCAAATTTTACTACGTTAAAAATAATTTTTTGGGGAAGAAGAAAGTTCCCTCTTTTTAAAATACTATTTACTCTTTCATTTAAGTATCGACTCACATATTACTAATATGACCAAATTGTGAACAACATAAATTTTATATATGAAATTTATCTTTAAAAATGTAACAAGATTGAACACGCAAAATAAAAGGAGTCTGAACTTGGACCTGAGAGGAATTCATTTTTCCATTACTTGAAGCAACATTTGAAGCAAAGTAAACCAGAATAAATTTTTTTTTTTTAAAAAAAACTATGATTTTTAGAATCCATCCCATTTTCTTTCTAAATGAATCGATTAAAAAAATATTTACAGTAATAAACATAATGAGTATCACATTTGGTAAAACATATTGGTTCAGGACAAAACATAACAAATGGGAAGACTGAACGCAAGGTAGAATCACATTGAGGAAATGCAGTATTGCGACTGTTGGATGGTCAGTGTAGTGCCACCTAAACTTGGCAGTTTGTGTAAATATTCAAGAGGCTTCAGTATAAAGCCTCACAATGAGAAGTTCACATAGGAAGATCAGAATTAGAAGTTTGTAGAACACGATGACCAGTTTCATTTTCTAACATCGCTATTCTTTGCTTTAACATTCTTACCTACAAAAATATTATTCAAGTTTAAAGATTCTACAAGATTAGATATTGAAATTTCTTTTTCAAAAAACAATTTAGAATTCAATTAACAACAGTTATACTAATAAAAATTGCATCACATAATAGTGTAGTACACTTTTCACAATACTTGCTTTTTTTTACCACTACTCATTTGGAAGACTACAGCAAAAAATGTCTCATTTGAGAGACTATAGCAAAGGATAACTTTTCACAACTTATTTGGGAGATCATAGAAAATCTTTTTAAATTTAAGATACCAGAGCGAAAGGTATCTTTTTTCACAACCTGTTTGTGAGACTGTCAATCTAACGATGGATTTAACATGCATTATCAGTTTAGTACAGAATTAACAGATATCCCCCCAGTAAGGGCTTCTAAAACTTTCTGATAAACCAATGCCATAAACAAGATATTCTGTAATCACTGCCCTAAATGTATAATTTTAGAACTCTTATTAAAAATGCAGTCAACAGGATTAATAATATTGGAAGAAGGAGGAGAGTTACTACAATCTGAAAAATCACTGTCAAAGTTAATTATTTTAAAGGTGAAGTAATTAGTCGGATGAAATTGAAAAGGTCTTAAGTTAATAAATAAAATAAACAAAATAGCAATTGTCACTATTTGAAAAAAAAATATTAGAATAAATTTCCATTGATTTAAGTCTAACATTAATCAGTGCATTTATTTATGTGAATTATGCAGTTAAATATTCATTTACTTACCCTCCAACTACGATGGAATTTCTGCAGATTAAGAAAATATTTTTCCAGGTGGTTATTTTAATGAGTTAGCTATTTTATAAGTTATTTTGTTCCCCTCTATGCAAAAAGCATTTAATAAAATATTTAAAAGATCAGACAGACATATATTTTTGATTTCTGATATAAATTTTCTTAAAATTCTGTATAAGTGATATTTAAAAGACACTCTATATATGTACCGTACTATAGATTGATATTACATGGTTAAGATACAGAATGTTAAATCAAGGTTTTTGAAATCCCCACTTGAAATATAAAATTTTAGGATTGGGTCATACTACAGTTAGTAATTATACAGTTAGTAATTATTTTTAAAAGTGATGGTATAAAATTAAAGAAAAAAAAGAAATCTGAAATTAATAAATTTCAAAACACAAAAAATTCGGTATTTGACTTCCTCTGCTTATGACTAATGTGCCAGAATCTGGAAATTTTTTATATATTGTTTTGGTATGCTAAGTGTCAGATTTATAAGGTTTAAGCAGAAGCCAATAAGCTAACAGCTACCCAAAAACATATATGATACAAAGGAGTTTCATTTCAGTTGGAATACAAAAAGAAAGAAATGATGTATAAATATATTTAAAGTACTTATATTTAAACATAATTATTTCTTGAAAATTAAATAAAACAATGAAGATATTACAACGGAGAAAAAATAAACATTAAACCTAAATTAAAGAAATATTAATGTTTCATTGAGATAATAAGTTAATTAATATTATTTTCAAAAATATCTGAGATATAGGAAATATGGTGTTAGTAATTAAATTGCAATACATCATAACTGCACTAAACACAAGGTGTGTTTTTATGTCTTCAAGAAACATAAAATTATTTTTAAAGTACTTTTAATTTTAGAAGCAATTTAACATACCCTTTTAAACAAAAATTTAATAAATTTAAACAAACTACAGCCAATTGTTGACATTTCAAAGATGCATGATGATAAATAATTAACATAGTTTAAAGCTACTGAAATCAAATTTTAAAAAAAAGTATTAATTGTAGAAAATACAAACCTGAGCATTATGTCTTTCAGTTAGAGAACTCATTTGCATTTCTAGTTTTTTAACTTTAGTTTGTTGTTTTTTCTTTGCCTTTTCAAAGGCAATCACCAAGGCACTGAAAAAGAAGAATCTTTATTAATTAGAAAACAAAGAAAGACGAGTCAAATATTAACTTAAGTAAGGAAATAAATAACAGTTACATAAAAGAAAACAAATATTTTAGATAACACTTTACTTGGTTTTTTGATAAAATCTTTTTTAATCAAGTGTCAAAAAGCTATCGTGCAAAATAGAAATTTAATTTGCAACTTTCTGGGAGATATAGGAGATTGTTAAATGATATAAACAATTGTTAAATCTTTTTATGGTGACTTTAAAATAAAACAAATAACAACTAAATACTTATTCATATACTAAATAAATTACAATTATCTTGTCTACTAATCTTACGCATTCTTCCTAATTTAAAAAACATTTTGTGGTATTTGGTAAGTAACGAATACTAATTAATTTTACCAAACCTTTAAACAAGGAATTTTTAATAAAAAGCAGTACTTTGTAAACAGATTCTTGACGTTTCTAGACATTTCCAAGCTAAAAAACAACTTTCCTCATTTAATACTTTTCCAGTTCGATGTTTTTGAATAAGGTATTATTTTCAAACTAGTCTTTAAAGTTAAAGCTATTAAATTTAATCAAACAAACAAACTTCCATTGTAATTTATTTCCAGTTGCACTGATATCTAATGTATATTTTAAGGGAAATGTAAAAACAAGCTTTAAGTTCTTACCTATTAGTACGCTTTAAATCATTAACAAATTCAACAGATTGTTGGGCACTCATTTCTGAGTTTTTAGTTACTTTCTCCATTGTCTGCACTAATTCTTGAATTCTAGCTTTCAATTTATTTACTTTTTCAGAAGATTCATTCAGTTTCTCACTATCACTTGCACTCAGAACACCTTTATGATTTGATGAACACTAAAAACGAAAATAGGGCATAAATTTAGATATTTAAAAAAAAAAATAACATTGTGTAATGTATATCATTATTATTAGATATTAATTGAAGAAACTACTAACATACGAAGGCATTTAACATATACCTTAAAAAAATTCCATCATATACATGGATATCTGAACTCAGATATCTAATTTATATATATATATACCAAATTTATATATATATAATTTATGCCTATATTAATATATATATATACCAGCTGATATCAAAATCATTGACTGTCTATCTAAGACATTGTCTATGTTAACAACTCAACATTTTTAGAAATCACTATGCTAGAGTTGTTCAAATATTATCTAAGCATGCATTTGATTAGTTTGGACTCCTTATTTGTAACCAGCAATACGTTAATCAAAACCGGATGTAACATAAGAGTGTTTGCGTAAACATAAGATTTTTTTTCTAAGTGTAATTCCCACCTCATCAAATTTAATTATTTTACAACAAACCTGCAATTTTTTCTTATTTTAGTAAAAGTAATTTAAACACTAACACAAAAATTGGATCAATTCCATGACACTTTTCAAAAGTTAAAAAAGTGTGGAGCCTGCTGCTCCATACTTCATTAACTTTTGAAAAGTTAATCGCTTAACGGTTATTAATGATTTTTCTGTTGATTCAATTCATAATTTACATGTGACATAATTATTTTTTATTTAATAATGATTATTTTATCAATATTTCTATCATAAAATTTAACTCCAATTATATGACCATTCCTTGGAAGTCATCATTGTTTAGAGGTGGTTGTTATAGAAAGTTTGACTTTACACCAATATATAATTTCAGAAAGCATACTTTCAATCGACAAAAAAAAAAAGGCTTACCAGACTTCAAGTTTTAGAGCAAACTAAAATTGACGATTGCTTAATTTGTTTGGATACTAAGTATGCTATGTCAGAACCCTATCTACGTATATCTTAGACATGATAAGCATAGGTGTAGTGTGAGGGAGCGGTACTGTTTTTTTTCCTTTTTTTGTGTCAGAAAATGCTTGTTTGATTAAAATTTTAAACATGTATATATATTTCATATTTATATGCAGATTTTTTGCAAATAAATATGCATACTTTAAGCTTTTGGAAAACAATGTGCGCCCTGCTTACACCAATTTTATGGCTAATTATCGGCTTCATTTGAATAGAGCAAAAGGGCATATTGATAGTGTAATAATCCAGATGATAGATAAAAATCCAGAATCAATTTAACCTCTTTGAGTAAGATTTAATAATAAAAAAATAAGCATGAAATAACCATTTAATTTTTATTTAAAAAATAAAACTATTTATTTTATAGTTCTTACCTGTTGTTTATTAAAATCATACTATAGATATGGGTATAATTTTAATTCGTGTAAAATATCAAAAACCTAGTTAGATGAAAAATGAGCTATACTCGACATTTCACTTGAAGTGTTATTAAAAAAAATATCAATCATGAGACATGAAATACTAATCACAACAAAGGACAAATTTACATACTTGTAACCTTTCTACCATTTCAGACTGTTCTTGTAGTTCACTTTTAAAATTTTCAATTTGCACTTTATATGCTTGCTCCTGAGCTTCTCTACTACTGAGTTGAAGTTCTAATGAAGTTTTTTCTTTTTCTAGGAGGTAAACTTGAGCTTTCAATTCAGCTTTTTCTTCCTAAAATTTTTTGTTAACAATTTACATCAAAGCAATGCATATAATATTGGTAGGACAGAGATAATTATATGAAAACAAAACAATGCTTTCGTGAATATATAAACACAGAATTCAAAGCTCTTACTACTAATGCTTTACAAAAATATTCTACTGAATATTTTTACAACAAGATTTATTATTCATTGTAAAAAACTTTATAAATAATTAACACAAGGTTGTTATATATAGAGTCGAACCTCATTAACACAAAACTGTGTAACATGAAATATCGCTTTGCATAAAATGCGTGTTTAACATGAAATTTTAAAGCTGATTATCACTTAACATGAAAGGAAACTGGACACAGCACAGATAAGAAACATGCGAATAAAATTTCGATCATTCATTTTTTGAGGAATGCTATTTCTATTTTCTTCCTTTGTCAGAAGTAGCAGATAAGCAAATAAATAAAATAGTGTAATCAAGTATTTAAAACTTTTAAGCTTATTTTAATTTGTTTGGTTCATAATAGTATTCTTTGCACACATTAATCTAGTACATAAGATGTATTAATTATGCGTAATAAACTGTTTTCATGATCTATTGGATAAAACAAAATTCGTTTAAGATGAAGTAGTTATGATAGTCCTGTTGATTTCGCATTAACAAGGTCCAACTATATATATATATAACATTTCGATATTAATAATGAAAAATATAAAATCTGAATTTTTTTTATAAAACCATATATGCATAATTTTTCAAAAAGTTGATATTTAAAATAGAAAAAAATTTAAGATACAGGTGTTAACAAATTTAATAGATGCTTTTGTTTTTTACCCAAAATGAAATTGCTACCCTTACAGTTTTCAAAATTTATACTCTGCATAGTGCAAATATAGACTAATTTCAGACCATTAATGTCTGAATGTTGAGTTTAGTATCAGTAGTTATAAATTTTGAATTTATTAACTGGAGTTTTCTGCACTTGTTTAAACAACTATCCAGTTGTTTAACCATCCACTATTTGATGAAAATACTCAAATATTTTCATAAACTTAATTAAAATGAAGAATAATTCCATAATTAAAATAATAGTTTCATAAACTAAACAAATTATTGATGTATATGTTATAACTTAATTAAAAATCAACAGTAATTAAAATAAGAAATATTGTCATTGTAAAGAATAAATTTTTGTGAGTTTGCTGCATTTTGCTTAGGTAATAAATTATTCATTCACACCAAGTTAAAAAATTAGCTACAAAGTTCATCCTCAGATGGCACTGCTGAATGTTAAAGATGTAAATAATGTTTTCTGCTACATGTTAAAGCACTCCAACTGAAATGTTTGCAGAGGCATCTGCTAATTTTGTGTTGTTAGCTTGCAACACATTGCTGTTGCAAATATTGATTATTTTGCAAATCTCTAGTCTTTAAAACTTGGTAAGGAGAAATACGACGCACGGTGGCTGAGTGGTAGCGCTTCCGTGCCATAGGTCCTGGGTCCGATCCCTGGGCCAGGCAAGGTTGACTCAGTCTTTCATCCCTTCAGAGGGTCGATAAATGAGTATCAAGCATGCTTGGGAACTAAACACAGGGGGTTTTTGCGTTCGGCTGACCACCTGACCCGAACATCAGCTCCTGCACCCCTAAGTCCAAGATCAAGAAAACTGAGATGGGCACAGTAGGCCTTGGCCCTTTATGGGTCGCGTAGGAGAAATACTTGAGTTTACTAAGTAGAAACAGCAAACTGTATATACATATATTTTTTTTATCTCCTTTCATTTTTCTTAAAATTGATTTTTTAAAATTTGTCATTATTGGGGCACCCAGTATTTTTGCTAGACAACACTCGTACTTACGACATTGTTCAATAAAATTATCCTACTAAATCAAAGTCTTTAACAATGCATAAATGATACAATTTTGGATTCTGGATAATTTTATTTCCACAAGAAGGATGTTTGTTTGTTTGTCCTATCAGACAAAAAATAAATAAATAAATAAAACACTAAGCAAATTCTAAGAATTGAATTTAGCACCTGCAAACTGAGATATTATATGCTACCTAAGTAGACTTATTCAACAAAGAGATTGGTTATATGTACAAAATATTTATTTTTGATAGTCAGTCAAATAAAACTAACTTTCATGGCCATCAATTCTTGCATGAGGACGGCGTTTTCCAAATCCAGCTTTTGAGCATCTATTATTGTTGGTGGATCTTTGTTAATGGGATCAATGTGGATACTCTCCAGCTCAACTACAGTGGTCCGCACAGCAGACCTGTCATTCTTCAACTGAATGATATAGTCCCTGAGTCTACGCTCATCCACTTTAGTGAACTCTACACCACTATCACAGCTACTGGACACGGAACTAGAGGTACTACAACAAAAATATTCATCAATATTTCCATTAAAATAGTTAACAATCTAAAAATAACAATTTGTTCAGGTTTCTTGCTGCTATAATGAAACATATAGTTTCAAAATCAGATAGATCACTTCAAAAATTAGTTTTCCACATATTACTATTGGATAGACAAAGATTTTAAATTTTGGCTCTGCATTAGTCTTACTTTCAGGGGAAGATTAAGTTCAGAACTATCTGGTTTTGCAGCAAACAATCAAATTTATTGGTTTTTAAAATGAAAATATGGTATCTGAATTTGAAAATAAATGATAAGTACACATATAATCAATTACCTGTGAATGTATCTTTTCTTTTTCAAGGTCAAAATAAATCATAGAATTAGAAAATTATAAGAAAAGATCTATTTTATATAAATTAAATCATGTAACAATTAAAAAAAAGACTAACTGCGTTTTAGTAGTCTCATAATTTGAGTTTCAAAATGAAAAACAATTGAGAGTGGTTTGAGATATAAAATTTAAATAACCTTGTCGTGTGACTATGAGAAGAAAGATCTTCCCATGGGCTAAGATGACAAGCACCCATTCTAGACGAGATACCGTAACTTCGATCCAATTTCTGCAGAAAATGCTTGGCAACGTTTTCAGAAGCTTTCCTATTCTCCTGAGATTTGGTTAAAAGATCCATAATGTTCTTTTGATTTTCATCTTCAGATTTGACTATAAAGAAATTGTTTTGAAAATTAATAAATAACTGACAACAAACTTTACATGAAAAAAGTTAAGTGATAATTGAGCTTCTGTAATATAAGAATGATAAATAAGTTGTGTAAGAGCCTTGCTATACACTTAGTTTCATTTAATAGAAAAAAAAGTTTTTTTTTATACACTTAGTTTCATTTAATAGAAAAAAAAGTTTTTTTTTTAAAGTATTCAACGAAACACTAATAACTATTTAAAATCATCTGAGATTAAATAAAAGGCAACAATAAAAATATTAAAAAGCAAACAAACCTGTAAAACTTTTTAGAAACTTACTATAATAATCCATCATAAAATATTATAAATCTCTAAGCAAAATGATTAAAAAGAAAATGTTTTTGAGTTTTTTTAATTTGTTTTTGTTTAAAACAATTAGGGTTTACAGTTAGCTAAAAAATTTTCTTGATTTTGTCGTGAAATAATCTGTCAATTGCTTTTATGCTCCTAAATCATAATCTAATCAGTATATGTATTCAATTATACACAAGAAAAAGGAGTTTTAACATTTATGACCTTTTCCTTCTTTAATTATATGAATTTAATTGATAATGAATTAGGAGAATAAAAACAGTTTAATATAAGAGGGTAAAGGCAATATCTGAAGAAAAAAAACAGACCCTTTATTTATAATGATTGACTTCCATTTATTCAGACACCTTCTTCCAGTTTAAAAACAATCACCATCTTAAGTTTTAAAATCTAGGCAAACTTTAGTAATCTACCCAACAGAAAATTCATACTGGACTTAGGAGATTTTTACAGACAGGTGATTTAAGAGTTAGCTTGACTTTCAGAACAAACAGCAAGCATCATAAGGGTTCCAAAACCACTACATAAAATCTTGATAAAAGAGTCTTGATTGTTGGAGTTATTCATAAACTCAAGGTTAGAGAAAAACATTAATTTAGTATCAAAAGAAAGACCAACATATACACAACATGTGAAAGAATTTGCTATACTCCCCTTAAAAAAGCCTTTGATAACAGGGGTTCACACTCAAAAGAGGAAGAAATAAACCATGGTGAGATATTTGTAATATTTTACAATACAACAATGTCGTTTTTATCATTAACACACCACAATTCAGCCCATGGATCAATGCTTAAATCATCACAGATTTCTACAATCTCATTGCAAGCCACGGAAAACTTTCATGCTACTTAAGCATTTTGTAGCATGCTACTTCCTGAGAATCAATACTTATTCTGAAGTTTTTTATTTGGGTAAACTACTGGAAAGGGTGTTGTTTATTGAGTTGCTAAGTCATTTAAATATATTTGACGGAAAGTAAAAAATTGCTACATTTTCATTGACTTACTAAATTTTATGAATTTAATAATTGAACACTTGCATAACTGGAAGCATGTAGAGTCCCTGGGGAAGATTTTACAAAGTGGTAATGAAAGAAAGATTCAAGTAGGAAGAATTTTCATAAAATCAAGTTACCTTTGCGAACATATAAAGGTATAATGATAATTATATCTTATACATATATGTTTGCATAATTTATCTGCTGTGGCAAATAGATCAATTGCTTCGAAAAATTCTAAAAATCCAAGCTTATTTAAAATAGAAACTAATGCATCCAGATAGAGAAAGATCCAACAAGTGATTGTTAGAAGATGTTACAAAATATCTAACCAAAATGAAAATTACAAATTCAATATTAAGAACAGAAAGGTTTAAGATAACATTATACTGCAAGCCAAGGTCCACAAAAGGCCTCAGTTAACATTATATATAGAAGATCTATAAATTAAAACACAAATGTTGTTACATACAACAAAAACAAAGAAAGATTTTCTTTAAAGACCATATAAGCTGGCAGCAAAGTACTTGCACCAGTCAATATCAAAATCAAGATATGTATTGATCAAGATTTACGCTAGAAACCATTCAATTTCAATTATATTTTCAATTTACTTTGCTTATACTTTTACATCAGTTGCTACTGTGATTTTATTTATTTTTCTGCAAATCATCAAAATAAACCAGGTTAAGCACCAAAAATTAAGATTCTTTAATATTGCCATATTTTTCTGGAAAAAAATAATAACTAAGATTTATCTAAATGAAAGCAAATATATGTAAATATATTGCAATGAAAGCTTATAAAAAAATAAGAATTGTCCAAAAGACTTTAATAATTGACCATAAAATTATTAAAAATAAATTTTAAAAAAACTGACCTTTACTGTTATTTAAATTCTTAATACCCAGGCTTTTACTGTACATGAACCCCCTTGTGCATAAAAAATTATATAGCCTATAATCAAGATATATCTTTCTCTCTTTATCAAAAAACATAGAAAGTAAAAGATTAATATCATAATCATCCTCACAATATTAAAACAACTTTGAACACACTATACAAAACTTCACCTTCAAATATTTCTTAATTCAAAAACAAAACATAATTTGTAAAAGTTACCTAGACCAACAGCCTTGCAATTTGCTCGCAAAAGATCTTGCTCAGCTTCCAACAAAGCAAGTAATACTTCGAATGTTTCAATAGCTTGATCACTGTAAGACAAAGCAAGTTGAAGGGCCGTATTATTCGATTCATATTTTCCTATCAAAACACTGAGTCGGTCACAATGTCCTTTGCTTTCATCAAGAGTTAGATTTAGGAGATCATTTTGGGACTTCAAATGCTCAATACGGCTATTTAACCTTTCCATTTCCACTTCAAACTCTTTAATCTTGTTTTCAGGAACCGGAGAACCAGTAGAAAATAAAGTCTGAAAAATTTCCTGAGCATGTGATTCTTCATGAACATTTTGGGCAAGATGTTCAGCCATTTTTGTAGTCGAGAGCTGAAAATAAGGCCAAATAGAGAGATTTAGTTAAATATTTCAGTCATAATTCAAACTGCCGAACTAATTTCCTTTCTTAAACAATGTATATCTATTTTTTTTAAATTTCCATACCACTGATAGTAGTTAACATTATGATAGTTAACACTGATAGTAGTTAACTTTATTCATTTAGTTTATACTATGCATTAATTATACAAATCACAAAAAATATGCTAAATATACAATTTTGGAAGAAAAACATTAAAACATAATAAATAGTTAACATTTTCACAGATTAATAATTTTGTAGAGACATCTTTATGTAATAAAAATAACTGTTCTAAACATAGGGTTTTGCTTAATGAATTGAATGGGCAGGACAAAAGACTTCTACAGGAGTTATATAAAGACTTCTAAATGGTGTTGCATAATGACTACTCTTTATATCTTTTTAGAATCTTAGTGAAAATGAATTTTTAAAAAAAAATTGCACATTAGGGGTTCAAAATATTATTAGAGAGTAAAAAGCAAAAGTTTGACCGATTTTTACTGAGGTCTATAAGAGCAAGGGAGAGATTAAAAATTATGTAAAACCGGTTTGCTTGAGGAAGGAATTTAAAGTTAGTTTCAAGTGAAAGACGAATGCATCCTAGTTCCTTTAGACAGATCAGTTTTTGATTACTTAAATTTCCTCTTTACTCCTTTGAATAATAAAAGGTTTCAGTTGCCTTTTAAATACTAATTCGCAACCTCATAATGGGCATAGTTTTTGTACTTCATTTTGTATAAGGATTCTAAAACTATCTAATTAGAGCAGGTTAAACAGAACATACCATACTCACACACCAATCTTATTAAATTGTATTATAATTCATAAAATAATACATTTTTTTAAACATTCTATAATAAATTATTATTTAAAGTACTTTCCTTACTTAGCAAATTTGTTTAGCCATACATTTAACACAACCAAAGAAAAACTATCAATCAAGCTAACTAGGCCAAAATTTTTATTTAAAGTATGAAAGTATGAAAAAATATTCAGAAGTTGAACAATTCGTGACATTGCGAGGGTAAGAGAGAATGCAGCTCCGTGACAAAGAAAGAATTAGTTTTGTAAATGACTTTCATCTCGTGCAATTTTTTAACTAGGCTTACTTTTCATTAACATGTAGCCTTAGATGTTGTTATAATTACAAAAGTAAGAACACCAAGTCCGCACATATATCTAAAATTATTTTATTACCATTAAATAAAATTTTCATCACATAAAAAAGTTTTGTAATTCAAATGAAATTTTCAATCCACACTAATTTTTCTTATATGATGCAGCAATTATGAAGTGCAGTGTAAGACATGTTTCACTATCATATTTGACTAATAGGAGTGCAGCATTTCTAGCTTAAATTATTTTGGCACTTTTCCCCTATCCATGGATTTTTATTTAGCTAACTACTTAAATCAATATAAAGTAAGTGTACAGCAAAATCTCTATTGACTCTTATATCTAAAGACAATTTAGAGTTTATGATGAAATATGATTTTTTTTTTACCAAATATGAGAATACTTCTAAAGTGACATAACTAAAATATGATCTGAAAGAGTATCAGCAGTTAGACATGACATAATATTATTTCAATAAATCTATTCAGGTATATCAGTCAGTATACTGACTATTCAAATATACCTCATCTGAAGATCTTTAAATTCCTATTGTCAAAATATGAATAAACTACAGTCTTTGAAATACATACGTGATTTGCAAATCACATCAGTAGAACTTTAAAAGTTAGAGTTTACTAACACTACTTATTTGATTTTTCATCTCACAGTATAGCATTGGGAGAAGAGCAAAGCTCAACTAAAAATTTGAAGATCGTGTCAAAATCTGCCGATAATCCCTTCACGACTGTTCAAAGTAATTCAATGACTATAAGGATGAATTTCAATCATAACAGGTAGATTCAGGCACAATTATTTCCGATAATCAAGATTCGACTGTAACTCAAAAAATAATTAACAGAGAAAGAATGAATTTTAAAAGAGCTATGAGTAGCAGGATAAAATATAGAATCATAAAAATAAATAAATAGATAACTGAACATGCTAAAAGAAATTATACTAACTCCTAAACTTGATATTTCAGAGCCTAATATGTGACGGTCACCGCTCTCCACTTTTTTCAGCCTCACCCGTTCAGCCATTTTTGCTATAGGAACATCTTCTCGAGAGGTGGGAGTTCTCTCTCCTGTTGTAGGATTGATATGTGGGCTTTTACTTCTAGTCGGAGAACTACCGGTTTGAGAGCCCTGCGAGCTTTGAGATTGTAGACTAGCAAGTTTTGACTGCATTTCACGAACCTGAAAATTAAAGTGTTATTTAATACAGGCTTCAACTTGAGTATTTAAATAAAAATTCAGTCAATTTTTAAAACATATCTATTTAGAAACTACTAAATATATATAGAGAAGCCCCTAATAGCATCATAATCGGGTAGCAAGGGCACCACAGGAAACAAAAATAGCGGGTAACCAGAAGAAACTGAAAATAAAATGAGTGGGAAACGTGTTCACCCACGTGTAGTTTAAATATACAACAGAATCTTTTGTTCTATGTCTAAATCCCTGAAATAATAGGAATGAATGGTAAAGAAAAAAATAGTACAAACATACTTCATAAAAGTGTTCAGGAATCTTTTTTTTATTTTTAAAAAGTCACACTTTTTTGATTCTTGCTTTGAAAGCACGTTTTTTAATATGAAATTGTACTTTCCTTTTCATAAACTTCTCTGCTAGTTGTGCATTGTCAACTTGTTCCTCTAAATTGTGAAGCATTTAATGTACAAAAGTGAGCTCGTCCACTAGGGTCGTCTAGGTCTATTATCAATCACGATGTTCAATACAATTTTTGATATATTCTCGTAAATAATCAGGGTACATACTTTATCTCAGTATATATACTTTATATGTATATATACTGAGTATAACTATATGACATATAATATCGAAAGCACAGAGGTGAAATTTTTAAAATGTAATTCATTAAGAATATAAGATTTTGCTTACTTAAAAAAATATAACAATATAAATAGCATAGTTCATAAAAACTTCTTTTTTTTTCTAATTGAGAAAGAAAAAATGCTAAATAAATAAAATAGAAATTAACAAGCATAATCTTTTCAAATATAATAATAAAACATTTATGAATAAATATATACACAATGGTGGTAAAGCTGATCTAAGGCTCTGTCGCAGTAGAACAGCCATATGATACGTTTATTACTATTATCTTATAATAATAATAATATGCAATTTTTAAAACTGCGAGGCTAACTCTTATTTTGTCCACTAAAACGACAATTTTTAAAAAAGTAATTTTTCCCAGCAAAATAGTAATACAATTTAAAATTAAAGCTTCGCTTTGAGTTTAATTTGCTCAAATGATGGCTTTTTTTTTTATTTATCTTGAAAGAAGAGCATTGAGGAATATCCTTCACCCTCAGAGTGTAAATCCCACTTTTTTCTCGACAAATTTTAAACTGCAGGCTTTCCCGGCTGGAAAATTTCAACAAAACTATACTAATAGGCTCAATTCTACGAGGGTTCAGTGCCGAATCCTTAAAAAAATATTATAAGACATTTAATTCTTACTCTTCTTTGACACCTATCCCTATCTTCTCTACAGCCAATGAGTATTGCTCTAGTTTGGCCAAGCTCAGACTCCTGCCTCGCCAGCTGTTCTTGCAAAGCAGCATTTTCAGCTCTTAAAACAATCACTTCTTCCTGCAACTGTGATAACTGAAGACTGTGACATGATGTTGCTCTGTTTTCTTTAAAATCTTCTAGCTCTCTCTCTCTGCAATTCTGTAAAAGATTTTTTTTTCTTCTCAATTATTTCTGCTTCAGGAATGTAGAATTCAAAAAGAAAAATATAATAAATCATAATGGAAATAGAATTAAGAATCTAAATATATGGAAATAGCATCGCATAATTTTAAATATATTTTACAAAGTCATAAAATCAGGTGCCCCTAATATGTTAAATAACTTAAAAAATGAAAGGATTTTTATGGGTTGTTAAGTTCTGTTTAAGAAACAAGAATTTAATACTCACTAAATTCCATTATTACTTAACAAAGCTTTTTACAAAATGGTGCTGCTGACTTAAAAATTATGAAGTGCTGTTTTTTTGCTTTGTATCAGATTGTTCTTACTGAAAGATTCACACATTTTTCAATTAATTTTGTGTGCAGGCAGTAGCAATGTGTTGCTGCAGGTAGCAATCATTTTAAAAACTATTTTTAAAAGAATATCTATTAAATCCCTTTAAAACATAGTATATTACATTTTACATAGATGAAATTTGTAACTGATTTTGAAACTTGGCAAGAAAAGAATAAACTTGTTTCCTACACAAAACACAGTGAACTCTCTCTTTTTGCTTTTTCCCCTTTTAAAGTTGGTGTTTAAAATTGCCAATCACTTTGTGAAAACCTGTCATTAATTAACGGTAAGGAAACAAAATTTTATAATAGGAAACAAAATACTAAGATCTAAAAAAATAATAGGAAACAAAAGACTTTGAGAGTGAAAAAAATAAACTAATATAAGAAAATATTTGAAATGTCACAAATTTATCAATTATCAAAGGAAAAATGAAAAAATTTATTTCACGCTACTGTAAAGTTTTTTTTGAAAGAGAACAAAATAATAAATTTTTTTAGTAACAATATAATATAAACAGTTTATAAATTACTTTATTCCAAACTATTTTAAATATTTAAAATTTTACTGCAAATATTTTAATTTCACTTTAAGTGAAAGGGAGTTACATCACTTAAGATAAGCAAAAATATCTCAGACACATGAATAGAAAGTGAAAATTTTACTTTTAAAAGAGAATTGGTTAAATGCAAAGCATAAATGAAATAAAAGTTTGAGGCTGTATTGTCTCACAGCCTCAGACACATTATAAATGATCAGTGAAGTAAACAGTGTTTTAAAATAAAACTGTCTAAAAACAATAGCAGAAAAAATAAATTCTTAGTATCATAGAACTTCTCTTTTCAGAATTTCTTTTTAATTATATAAACATATTTAAAATATTCATTTTCTTTTTAGAGCTTTTAAGGACTATGTTTTTTTTTCTGTTACAGTTTAAAATTTTTATTTAAAATAAGTTAGTTAATTACAATTACAGGACAATAAACAAAAATAGATAAATTAAATAATAAAATAGGTACTTCAATTGAATTGTTCAATAACTGTACAATAATTATTCATATAAAAAACTAAGAACTATATAAGAAAAGTTCAAAAAAAAATTTTTTTGCTTGTTAAATCATACAATTTATTTTTCCTTCAACGGATTTAAATATTTAATTGATACTTTTCAAAAAAAAAAAAAAAANAAAAAAAAAAAAAAAAAAAAGAAGAAAAATTACATCATGAAGTATAAATGAATAATTTTTTAAAATTACTACTTTGATAAGAACAATAATAACCTGAATTGGTCTATCATCAGAGCTTTCATTGTCTCCCAAACCACTGCTAGCTTCTTCTCCATCTTGTAAAATTGTGCGAGAAATTTCATTTCTAGAATCTTCTTCACCACCAAATCTAGAAAGTTCTGATAAAACAAATAATAAATAAATAACTGAAATAATAAATTAAAAAAGGCATTCTCCCCCAACAGAAAGTTGAAGGTTAATGCTCCACAATTTCATAACCAAAGACATGGCACTACCTGATGGCACTACCATTACATATTTGCTGAAATCACAGGGCAGATTTTTATTTATTTGTATTTTTACAAATTCATATTAATTTCAATAATGATGTCTCTTAATATATATTTTTATAATATTTGTAAAAAATGATGTAATATTTAAAAGAGCAAATAACAAAACCATTTTTAAACTCTGCTTAATCTTTATATTACTTTCTAATCATTGAGATCATGAACAGTAAGAAATCGATTTAAAACATCAAAAAGCAGTTTATTTCAGTGCGATAGAAATGCAACCATATTTGAGAAAGCAAGTTAGCATCTACTAATAATGTACAAATATTAAACTTATTTCATGAGATCACTGTTGATATAATATTTAATAAGTATACAGAAATTAATGCATAACTTTTAGATAATAAAATACAGACTTTCATTAAATTCGTCATTATTCCAATAGCATCATGTATGAAATGATACTAAATGTGTGGCAAAATGTAGTTTTAATCGTTAAAGTAAAATCTTTTGTAAATGTGGAATTTCGAATTCTTTGGATGGGGTGGGGGGTGAAAATCAGTTTTTATGGGATTTAACAGGTGAGGATGAAGTAAACTCCATTGCAGAGTGGGATCAGTGTTATGACAAGTTATTGAATCTGGCACAGATGATTTTCGGAAAGAACATTTTTTTATTCTGGAACGTTTATTTACAGCTTAACATAAATTTTTTGAAAGGGGTAAATTGATACAGAACTATTCATATCTATTTAGGGTTGTAATGAGTAAGGGATTCAGCCAAAAAATGTAGGCAAATTGTGAATATTCAGCCACTTAAGACCAACATTTTTATTTAAAAAAAACATTTAGTAATAAATATTTTTTTATATATATAAATAATTTTAGTCAAGATTGTAAAATAATACTAACTAAGCATGAGGTAAAAAGAAAAAAACGATAATAGAAATATTTAAGATAATAAAGATAACTAGAGTTAATTAGACATTAAGATAATTAGAAATATTTAAGATGAATCAAAAACTAACTAACATTTAAAAGAAAAAAAAAAAAACTCAAGTTGTAAAGTTGAAAAAAAAAAGAGAAATAGAAAAAATATCCTCTTAATTCTTAAAACAAGACTTTAATGCTAAAAATGATATTTTTCCCTAAAAAAAGTATTCATAAAATGTTGAGAGATATAGCCTATTAGAAACGTTTATAAAAATGCAGCGCTATCATAAAATCACCCATAAAAAAGATTATATACAAAAGCAAAACAGAAAAAATAAAAATCAATATTTATTTTTAAAAGCAAATTATCAAACTAAACACCCCAGTTTTCCAGTTACCATATTTTAAAGAAATAGCAAAGAATAAAGTCTAATAGAAACCTTCTTAATTGCCATGTCATAAAAAATGTCGGTGAAAACATTGGTTCTTTAAAATAGAAAAAGTTAGTATAAATTTATTACTACATTTTTTAGCATAGAGTGATCAAAAATATTATTTTCCGTTTGCAATTTACTGTTGGTCCCTCAAACATCTAAAAAGCTTCAAACATAATTGATAAGTATGAGAAGTAGCATAACCATAAGTATGAGAAATAGCATAACCTAAACACTTCTAAATTTATAAAACGATTCTCCAAGAATTTCAAGAGGTAGTTCAAAAAATGTGTTAGCATAGATGTGTTTCCATTATTTTGTCCGACCCTTGTGCATAGTATTTCATATTGATAACAAATATATATATACATATTTTTTTTAAAGAACTAGAGATAGTAAACATATGTTTGTAAAATATTATATGACTTGTCTACAACATAAAAATCCAGATATAACACCTTATAAGTAGTTTTAAAGGCTATAGAGACAAAATTCAATAGAATCGTTACCTCTTTCAGAACAGGACTCTGTCGCATTATTATCGTTGCTTGTGCAGTGACTTGGTGTTTCACTTTGCCGTGATTCTTCGTTAGATTGTTGACTGCATTCATCTTCCTCTCTAAAGTATATATCACAGTGAAATTAAGAGAACAATTAATACAAAATAAAGCATACATGATTTGTGATCAATTTTGTAAGTTAGAAACAAGGAAAAGGGAAAAAATAATTTTCATTAGCATCAATAAACTTTTAAAACTATATTATTAACAATTCAGTAGTTGAAGGACTTATTATGAAACAACAATAAGCTATAAACGTGAAAAAAGAGAAATTAAGCTTTGAAGTTCTAAAAAAAATTGTAAAAATTATCATATATTCAGAGCTGTTGACTTATACGGCCATTGAGGAAACCTTTTCTCAGTAGTGGCAACATTTACCCTTTAAAGAATAAATATGGGTCCTTAAAGTTTTAATGAATTATTCACAATGACAAATCTATTATTCAATTGCACAACAGATCTATTAGTTATGTAGCTACACTTTTCAATGATGGTGAAGTAGTATGTAGTAAGCATACAGGAGGTTAGCTAAAGGGTTACAAATCAGTATGCAAATGGGGGTTACAAACCAGCCTATGAAAGTACGTCTCAGAATTTTAGCAAATAAATTATGTTAAATTACAATTTGTGTAAGTGTTTGTTTTTATACATGTTTATATAAACATGTTATGTATACACACAACAAAAAAAATTTCTTACGTTGTAATAAAGGATACATAGACTTTATTATTCCTTTCACAATTATTTTTTTAAGTAAAAAAACTTTCATCATGTAAAATATTTTATTTTATTCTATTTTAAAACCGTCCTTGAACAGCAAACTCAATTTTCGGGGTTACGACAACACTGTAGCCTTGTAATTTTGAACTCAATCCAGAAGACAAGGGAACTCCTTGATCAAGTATTGGGGGAAATTTGCCTTTGTGGAGGACTTATTGATGGAACTAACCCGCATATGCGTAAGATTGAGAGGAAGACCGCAAGAACCTCCCACGGTTAGCCTGATGGCAAGGGGACTCTACCCCATGATTCGTCTACCACTGAGGATATTTCACGCCAGCACTGTGGTTGGTGGAAGCCGAATGAGGAATTAGTATCGACCAGAAATAGCTGGGATTCGAACCTGGTTCACCTTATTGAGAGGCGAACACTCTATCCCTTGAGCCATCACTGCTCCATGTAAAATATTGACAAAAACATAATTGTTGCATGTTACCGCCTTTGCATCTCAAAATAACAAAGCTAAAAATCAAAGAATGTTTTTAAAATATTGGCCACAACTTAAAATAAAAAACATTACAGTAGGTTTTCCTAGCAAACAGATGTAATAATTTTCAGCACATTCAAAAAAGAAAAATAATTCAGGATAAATGCACTACTTTTTAAGATTTAAAAAAAAAAAAAAAAAAAAAAAACAGCGTATAAAAGTTACCAAAAGTAAATGAAAAATTGATAACATATCATGTGAGTACAGATTATCATGTGGTAAAGAAAATTATTTAAAGACAACCAAAGATGCACAAACAATACAAACTAAAATGAATGCTATTAATTTTCAGAGAGTTTGATGATCTAAAATTTGGCTTTAGTTAAAGGGGATTACTGTTTTCTTTAGTTTTCAATTAATGAAGACCATAATTGTGTTGCGGGATAAATTGAAATTTTCTGACCATTACTTCTTTTTTCCTTTTAGGAACTGTTTTACATTTGAATGCATTATTATGGATCGAAATTTTAACATTGCCATTACATTTAAATTACTATATGCAAGTTATTGTCCACTCACTTTATCACATTGGCTCTTTGTGCAAGTAATTTTTTGTTCAATTCTGCTATCACACTTGTCAGTTCAGTAAGTCTTTCTTCATATCTTTGAGCTTGCTGAGCTAATCTGTCTTCTTGTTCTCGAACTAGCCTCCATTTATTTAACTGAAATACAACAGTTTAAAAATTATGTTTTGATTAAAATATTTTATGAGAGGCAATAAGAAAAAAAAGAAGAAGACAAAAAGAAACGTCTTTAAAGATATTTGAAAAAAATATTTGTGTTGTGAATTGAAGTTTATCATTAACACACTTCTTTAATCATAATAATACCTTTCAAAATAAAAATACTAAATATTAATAATTACCTGAGCTTTATTTAATTGCCTTTCAAGATCATCCCTTTCTTGAGCTGTGTGTTGAATTATAGTTGTAAGCTCTGTTATTTTACTTTTTAATGAATCCAATTTTGCAAGGTGTAACTGAAAAAAGAAAAGCTTAGTCATTATGATACTACTACTCAGTCAAGAAATCAGTCAAATATCATTAAGGGGGTGCAGTTTCAGACTTTTCTTTAATGATGATATTCTGATATTCTGATATTCTTAGACATTTAGTAAATATGGATAAGATATTAGGTGTCCCAAAAGTGACTGAACATTTGAAAAATCAATTAAAAACAGAAGAAGAAAGAAATCAAAGGTTTACAGCATTCTGTTAAGGAAACTTAAGAATTCTTCTCACTAATCTTAAAAAATTAGTCATGAAGTTCGTCAACAGATGGCATTGCTGAAATGATCTGACATGCAACAGAAAATGTAGTTTGAAAAGTTTTTCCAGCAAACAATGATACCCATTCACGAATTTGGTGAGAAGAAATACCTATTTAAACAGATCAGAGCAAATCATACAAATTTATCTCCTATTTTTTTAAATAACTGATTTGTCAAATCATTAGTCATTCTTTTGACACTCAGTATTATTAATTAAAGAATGTGACACAAAAATTTAAGAGTAAATTTAACTTTAAATAGCTCTATAGATAAAAGCATAATAATTCATAGCAGTTTATATAATATAAATGGATAAACTATTATGGGTCAAAGAAAATGACAAAATTCAAAAACATTAATATAATTTTAAATAGCTTTCAAATGAGGGTAGAGTAATTCATAAAATTTAGTATAAATCGATTAATCATGAATTTATGGGAAATTCAGATTTAAGAGTAAGGTAAATTCAGATTTAAGAGAAAGTGCAACTTCAAATTGCTCTTGAAATAAAGTTAATAATAATTTATAACAATATAAAACGAATAGATTATCAAAGAGTAAATGATATTAAGATGTTATTGGAATAAATAAAATAAAAACATTTTTAAATTATATAATATAGATAAATAGATAACAAAAATTATTTTAACCCTGCCCTCTGATGGATTCTAGAAAGACTTCATGTAAGAGGTCAATTTTCAAGCTACAATTTTTTAGAAAACCCTTTTTTCTTCTTTCTCTCAATTTCTTCATGTTTTTGAGAAGAAATAAGGTGCTTTACCCATTTGGAAAAATAATCAAATGTTTTGTATTTTTTTAATGATCAAGTAATAATTAAAATGAATCTTTAAACAAAGTAGCCAAATTAATTTTCATTATAAATGGAACAAATTCTTTGAATTCAAAATATCTGTTTGTTTACAATACATACATAAAAATCTTCTATTTTTAAAGCTTAAATAACAAAATTAAAACCTAAAACTGAAATATCAAAAAATACAGTACTATCAGTAGCAATACAGTATATTTTTACAAGTAACACAGAGTGGATCAACCGAACTGTAATTTTAGCATAAGAGGGTATACAATTTGCTTATCTTTGTTGTCAAGGGGTAGTGGAACAAGTGATTTTCGTGAGATTATATTCTTTTATTGAAAAAATAGCCAAAGTTAAGGGCTCCCAAAAAAACTAAAAATATTAAATTTAACCCTATATTAAATTTAAAAAGATTAAAAAATAGGTGTTCCTAAACCAAATTATTTTCAATCACACAAATAACACACAATTAGGTAAAAAAAAAAGAATGGAAGAATATGCATGAAAACTCTAATTTGAAATGCTAAATTCGAAATTGCCTAAACCACATAGAATGAGGTCATATTAATTTCTCCTCATCAAACAGTATGAAAAGATAGATATTCACACAATTACACTATTGCAAAAGTTAAACGTTTTAAAATCATTTTTATGAATGTTCAAGGTTGAACACAGAAGTGAACGAAACTTGAACGAGGAAATGCTTGCTACACCATATAAATAAACATTATTTATAAAAAACGGCAGTAATTTTTTTTTTAAAAGGGAAATTATTTTGGCACTCCAATATCATATTTGAGTTTACTTACATCACTTGAGATTGTCTTCAGTTAAAAAAGTTGAACTGTTCATTTCATAGTGTTCTTATAACAGTAAACTTATACGTTTAAATTTAAATCGATTTGAGAAGCAAAAGTTTGATTTATCATAAGTATTTTCCTTTGTTGTTACCAATGGAACTTACAAAAAAAAAAAAGAAACAATCTTAAAAATTTTTTAAAATTACTTTAATAACACTTTAGGAAGTTTATATTTTAGTATAATCGTTTTAGAAACAAGCATTTTAAAAAACTTTAATGAGTCAGCTAGTTACATAATTGGTGATAAAAGAAATTTCAAAATTGGTACGGAAAAATATAGCTTAATTATTGTTCCACTCTGGGTTGTACAATTGGATAAAAGGAAATACAAACAATAAAAAAAAGAGGTAAAAAATGATAAATATATCCTTAACTGCAGACTTTTTTTTTCACAGAGTAAAAAAAAAAAAAAAAATACATTAGAATATATCCTCATTATGACGTG